CTGAACATGTCTGATATGAGATTTCCAGGAGAATTTGTCATCAACTATGACACCTAAAAATTTAATTTCATATACTTGTTCTATATTAGCTCCCCCAATTTTCAATTGAAGTTCATTATCTAGTCTACGATTCCCAAATACCATAAATTTAGTTTTATCCAAATTCAGAGATACTATATTACTGTCACACCATTTCTTTATCTTCTCAAGTTCCTGTGAAACCCGTCCAGAGAGTTGCTGTAGGTTTTCACCCGATGCCCATATGGTAGTGTCATCAGCAAACAAAACCACTTTCACTAAATCAGAAACCTTGCATATATCATTAATGTATAGTATAAATAATTTAGGTCCCAAAACAGAACCCTGAGGCACTCCACATACAATGTCCAGCTCACTCGATTGGTATTCACCCAACTTCACAAATTGACGCCTCTGTGTCAAGTAACTTCTAATCCAATTCAAAACCATTCCCCTGATCCCATATTTTTCTAACTTGTCCATTAATAACTCATGATTGATTGTGTCAAATGTTTTTTTTAGGTCAATAAATATTACCATCGTGTATTTCCTCTCATCCATAGCACTTGTTATGTCCTCCATTAGGTCAGTAATGATGTTAATTCATTGATGATGGGCTGATATTCCAGGAGGTCATCTCACTGGCAGATATGAATGTTTAATGGATGGATTAAACATTCAGGGCGACTGCTCTAAATATATCACAAAGGTCAATCCCACCCTGGCCCGCTCCCCAAATACACATGGGCTAGTGTCAGGGGTTAACAGCCAGACACCACTGAGCAGACGGAGGATAGAGGGCAAACGGCAAAAAACAAAACAAATGTAATTATCTGCTGAAGACTATTTAATACAGGCATTTGTCCAATTTCTCCAATGGTAATAGTAAATCATTTCTTTTAAACAAGAGAAAGATCTTAATCATTTATATCATTTATCTGTTTGGTGACCAACAAGTCGCCCTGAATGTTTAATCCATCCATTAACCTCAAAGGTTTCTCTCTGTTACTCAGCCGGACTAGTGAGCAAAAGACAGGATCTGAGCAGAAATCTGTATCATGTATCCCCAGAGGCTGTGACCATGACAAAAGTCGAAACTGTCTGCAGGCTGCATAGCAATAACAACAAGCTGGGTCACCTATCAGCACACTGAGATAAGCAGATAAAGACAGAGAGTGGACAGAGAGGAAAGTTCAGAAGTTCCTCTCTACTCATCAAATACACACACAGTGAAGGTTGTTGGTCACCAAACAGATAAAGAGACTCACAAAGAGATCTATTTGATATGTGTGATATGTATCTGCTGTCTGGCTGATCTGCTCTGTTGACTGAGTGAACTGGTAATGAATAGAGCACAGATGACAGAGCTGGAGGGGGTGAAGAAAGAGGAGAGGGAGCTGGGCAAAGGTAAGAAGGGAAATGGAGAAAGAGGGAGGTGCATCGGTGAACTGCTGATGAACTGCAAACAGGTTTAAGAAGGGGAACCACAGAGCTTGAAAAAAATGAGAGAGAAATACAATTACAGGGAGAACCTGCCACAGCGAGATGGAAGGATAGAAGAGAGAGTGATATAGGGGAACAATGGAGAGCAAGT